TCTACCACTGACTTCCAAACCGACAGGAAGAGAACATCGAAGGAGGAGGCAAGGGAGTTCGGCCCTTGGTTAGTTAAGAGAAATTTCACTCCCTCTCTCTCTTTTTCTCTCTCTCTGGAGCAAAGGATCGTTGCTTGAGAGTGTTTCGGCTGGGAGGAATCGGGATAGGGAGAGGTTTGCGGCTTCAAGAAGAACGGACAAGGCAGAGGGTTCGGCTGGGTTCGGGTGGAGTTGGAGGGAGATAAGTCTGAGAAGTGTCGGATCTTCAGCGGCTTGGAGGCGTCTGGGGATCTCGACGGGTATAAAGAAGAGGTGGAGTTCGGGAATGAACAAGAGGAAGAGCGACAGGAGTTTGAGGCCTTTGTTCGCGTGGAGCAGCTAAGAATAAGGGTCTTCGGCTCTTATTTAACGACGCAAAAAGAGTACGATTCGACGAAATCCCTACATGAATCGCGGAGAAGCGACACCAGCGACGCTGAACAGTCAAGTAATGAGATTTCTTCCTCTTTCTTGATAGGATTACGTGGATTTTTGCTATTACTTAGGTCAACATAGAGTTATAAGGAATACATTGATTGAGAATTATAAGGGGCGACTGATTGGGACTGATGCAGACATCCAAATATGAAGATTTTTAAAGGAGGAGACGACGATCGACGACCGAGATCATTCCACCTTATCTTAACTTATTATTTGTAATTTTTATTTTTATAATGATTTTTTTTCTTTTTTACCCTTACTTAAGAGGGTCGTCCAATGTTAAGCCCTAGGGTCATATATATCTTGTTTTAGTTTCTTAAGGCTATATATAGAGGCCCTTGCTTATGTAATGTAATGATGAATTATTAAGAAAAGAAATTTTGTTTGCACTTGTTTTCTTTGGAGATAACTTGAGGTGATTTTCCTATGGGAGGGAAGTGGAGTTTCCACCAGCTGCAGGATGGGTCCAGGCTCGTGGCGTGAAGTCCCTTGGAGAAGGGAAACGTACTACTTGTCAGCTGCAGGATGTGTCCGAGCTCATGGTTGTATCTTTCTTTCCCTAAATTCTTTTCTCCTTCTCCCCTCTCTCCACCTCAAGCCGCCGGCCTAAGGCGCACCAAATTCCTTAATGCCGGCCACTAATCCTCCCTCACCCACCAACCTCAACATACCACCACATCTTCAAATCAATCCCTTAAAATCCACCTAACCACTGACCGATCTCCACCACCCCTAGCCAAGCCACCGGTTGTCATCCCCCTCCTTTGCCTCCAATTCTCCAATCTCCACTTGAATAATTTCCTTTCTTGCTTAACTTCTTTGGGAAAGTAATTTAATTTTAAATCAATTAATTCAAATTTGAAATTTGAAACCTTTCATAAAATAGAATCCTATTTTAGGAAAGTTTCTAAAATCAAATTTAAAATTAATTTGATTTGGATTGGACAATTAAGTCCCATCCTATTTAGTAAATCCCAATGAGGAAAGTGAATTCATCCATCCCTCCAAAATCCCTTGAATTTTAAATTTCAAATTTCAAACTCCTCTTAATCGCTTTCCTAAAATAGTTTCTTATTGATTAGGAAAGTTTCATAATTAAATTCAAATCATTATTTGAATTTAAAAACTTTCTTAATTGATGAATTACTTTAGAAAATTTCTTTCCTTTGAATAAAATCTGAAATAAGATTTTAAATCAGATTTCCAATCAATAATTAAAGTCATAGGTCCACATACATTGAACTTAGACTCCCTCTCTCTCCCCTCTTTGGCCGGCTCCCCTCCCCCTTCCCTATTTAATTAACTAGCTCATTAATATCCCCTCAATCAAGCCCTTAATTCCTCTATTCAAATCCAATTTGAGCATAAAGGAAGTTACCAAAATTATGAAATTTATTTTTGGAAACTTCCTAATTTGATTCCTATTTAAATTTTAAATTAAGAGAGGATTAATTACTTCTTTCCAAACTTAATTTATTATTTTAAGTAGGCATTAAATGCCTCTTTACCCCCCCCCCCTTCGTTCTACATAGGGGACTAATAAGTGTAGGACCAAGATACTGTTAAGATATACTGATTAACTATCTGAATGCTGATACCGACACTACTACAAACACTATACTGATATTGTGACAAACACTGAAATTATTTTCTATCATTAACATTATTTAATGTTATTGATCATGATAGTAATATTATTATTGGTATTAGTCATGTTGATTGTTATTGTTACTGTGACTGATGATGTAATGGATTAAGATCTGATGAACTATAGAATGATAAACTAATACTAATAATCAGCATAAACATTAATGCATATATTTTTTATATGATTTATAGCATACTATTCTATTTTATCTTGCATTGATTTCAACCATAAGATTATAGTTATTTGTTAGGTTGTGTTTATTACGTGATTTTGTATGTTTCAGGAAAGGGTAAGGATTCTATGATATGAGGCTCCGGATAAGACAAAAATGCAATCATGCTTTTTTATGTTATTCATTAGTCAGCTTTCGTTAAATGGTTAAAATTAATACGAATGTAATTCTTCCAATATAGATCCTCGAGTGTGACATCTAATATATTTACTTTTCTAGCCAAGTATCGAAAGCCCATCGTTTTATGTGACCAAACCATCTAAGGTGACTCTCTCTAATCTTATCTTCCACTGGAGCTACTCCAACCTTTTCACGTAAATGCTCGTTTTGTATCTTGTCTCTAAGAGTAAAGTCACTCATCCACCTAAGCATCCTCATCTTTGTAACACTTAATATTATGTTTCTTTTTTAATGGCCAACATTCTGCAATATAAAGCATTGCAAGTCTCACTACCATCTTATATAATTTTTCTTAAGTTTAAGGGGGACTTTTCTTTCACACAACAATCCTAATACATTCCTCCACTCAACCTGAATTCTGCTAATAATATCACCATCTATTTCACCATCACTCTTAACAATAGACCCAAAATATCTAAAATGTGTACTTTTATTAATGACATGATCGCCCAAAGTCACAATCCCCCCA